GAATATGTTCATTTGTAAATATTTGACATTCTGAGAAACTTGGAAAAGCAAAGCCCACTGATCTAAAGTTTTAACTAGAGAGGAAGGAAGTGTGTTGAGGAGAATAAAAGGAGGAGCACAAAGTTAGTGAGACCTACAATAAACTTAAATTACCACACAATTAAATTAATCATGTCTTGACATCAGGGTTGTTGATATGGGATTTCCCACAGAAATGAGAGTAGCTACCTCAGTTGCTACATCAGTTTAACTTCTTAGTGGCAAAATGTTAAAAAGTTAGTTTACATTTGGGCTCTTCGGGTGAACAGTTCAGAGGAGCAGAACTGCTGCAAAAGGTGGAGTAACATAAGGAATTCTGTTCTTCTGTTTAACCTGCGTACCTTTAAGAAGTTTGTTAATACCTGGTTTCTGCAAGTTTATTAGCTTGACTTGGAACTGGAATTGCCTGGAAAAGGTTGATATAATCAAAGGTCACCTTAAATTAAAAAGATTTCTTTTCCAATGGTTGAGTGATCATTCTGCATCTAGGGGCAAGGGCAGCATACCTGCTGAGACTTAGGTATGAATGTGGAATTGGGGGCAGAGTGGAACAGTGTTCATAGAGTTCAGTAATCTCCAACTCTGTACAGCATTTGTGGGTGATCTGCCTGAGTAACTTTAGTGGGGCTCTGGTTGTATCTGATTATGTAGGTGTGTAGTATATTGTAATTGGAGAACAGTGAATGCAGTTCCTGTAACAGAGTGGTGTGGTTTGAGTAATTAGTAGACCTGGTATGGCAACCTCAGCCATAGAATTTAAAAAAAAAGTTGATGGAAAAAACAAGACCTGGAGACAAATGGAAAAGGCTCTATGCATTTATCAAAGGTGTGTCAAGTTGAACTAGTTCAGTTTCATCTTTTTTGATAATTGATTTTGTGGACATAAGAAATTGAGGTGACTCGTCACTGAACTTCAGTAAAGCTGCAGGTGCCACAAAGAAATGTTTTAAAATTCAGAAAAATGTGGATTAACCAGACAATTATAAAGGTGGATGAAGGAAGGAGATCAAATAAAGTAGTGGTGAGAAGAGGCATGGAGCTGTAAGGTCTTGTTAGTGCTGTTGGTGATGAATTCTTTCTCAGTGGCGCCAGGTGTTCACTGTGCTACTGAAGCCTGTGAGGGAGACAGCACTAGGGAGTGCCCACAGCAGGGGAGTTCAGTCATGTAAGGATTGTTTAGTGAAGCCTTGCGAGTTAAAATTGGAGAATTCAAAGTACAGTTGCAGGGTCAGGGTAGTTCTTCTGAACTTTTAAAGTCTGGTAAGGCCAGCTTGGACAGCTGCAGGTGCAAAGGGTGATCCCACCCTTCCCTGGATCACTTCAGGCTGGCTTAGCAGAGCAGAAACAGTATAGGACAAAAATGTGCATAGGGGGAAACCAGCAGAGAAGAGAGATTGAAGGATAGCACAAGGACAAATGAATTTAAATGACTGGCTGATTTCTTAACTGTATTATGGAATTTGTCTACTCACCTGTGTATGACTGTGGTTTTGGAGTAGCCCTACAACAGGAACGAAGGTAGGTAGGTGATAGTAAAAAAGAATTGAAGACTGAGCTTTACTTATGGACTGGTGTGTGTATACATAACCTGACCTATGGAGAGCAGCAGACAAGTGGATTTAATGGACTAGGCGTGAACAACGGTCAAATTAAAATACAGCAAATGTTTTGTCTTTCATCTGCAGTGTTATTGTCAAGTGTTCTTTTATTAAGCATTTTTCCGAGTACCTTTAAGGGTGGGACTAACTATGCAAGCATGCTTTTTAGAGTTTAGATAGTTAGCCATTCTAACATACAGAAGGACTTTAAGACTTAATATGTTGAGGGTTAAGATGAAGTTCGTAGTTAGCACCTACCAAATTTTCTTGTTGCTACTTTGAAGGGATCAATTACCAGAGTAGAACCAGTATTATATTAATTTTGCTTTACATGTTCACTTACTATGTGTATAGAAATACAGCCTTTTTTACACTTCTGTAGAAAGAAAAATATTTTTTAAAATGTGCAATTGTTGGCCAATTTAGGCAGAGGAACCTGAGGACAATGGTGGCACATCGAAGCAAATTCAAAGTTAATTAAAATAAAGTTTTGAGTATTTTAAAAATCAATTTGGAAAAATCAGGATTTGACCTTTTGCGAGTACATATTCTTTTTGCCTTAAAGGAGCACAAGCAAGATGCATAACAGAAAAATGCATAACTTCTTAGAACATGTTTTAAGATCCTGGTTCGTATCCAGTCAATTTCAAAAATTGACAGTTGTGTTTTACCTTTCAAGCTTTTTAAGAGCCATCAGGTACCCTTTTGTGGATTTTTATGAGTTGCTTTTTCAGGCAACGACATATGTTCTGTGTGTCTGCATGAGCACTCTGCTGCTTGAAGAAACTCTTAGTTCCTTTAACATTCATCCCGCTCCCAACTTATGCCAGGAAATTGATTTCTCCTTTTGTGCCACTGCCTGAGCATACTGTCCTATGAATTAAAGATCAGATGAAAAGCCTGAAACACAGAAAAGGAGTATCTGAAAAGAAAAAATGTGTAGGAAATGGGAGCAGCCATTGAGGCCTGCTTTGAACAGTTGTACTGAGGCACTAAACACTTGGAACTGTAAAGGTGGGCTTTGCACAGGTGCTGTAACACAGATATTCCCATACCATACTGCTGAAATTTGGAAGTGGCAGAGACCCACATTGTGACAGGAAATTAGTGCTGTACAGTATTTTTATTTGTTAATAACAGTTAAGATTGAAACACACTTTAAAACTGTGTGTAGTGTGATTGTCACTGTTTTTCTTCATATATTTCACTGTGGCAAGGCTTCAGTAATGGATGAAGAGGAACAGATTTAAAGTGATAGATAAATTGTTTCTGTCAAGTTGTCCAAATAGTGTATTTCCATTTAGCAGGAAAACTTAAATTATGTTTTCAGGGTTACAATTAACTGTGTGTCTGAACTTCTGTGAAACCCATGCTGTGTATTTTAATAATTCTGCCAAATTCCACTAATCAAAGTACATTCTTTTGCAACTGTTGATGAATATTTTTAGTAGACTAATACAAGTGGGTTTGTTAACTGTACGTTTGTGTTTTCCCCTGTTCCTCATGTTCAGGGGTAATTTACAGGCTTACTATGACCAGAGCACTGCATGGTTGTGGCAGCAACTTAAGATACCAAATGTTGTGCTGCTAAGTTACATCTCTGCATACACAAAAATACCGAGGCCTTTGAAAATATACAAGGGATTGAATTGTCTCCTGGCCTTTGAGAGAATTTGCTGTCTTTCAAAAAATACTGGGGAAATAAAAAAAAGTAGAATACCTTCCTTTAGATAATGTTTATTGATCAAGGAGACTTCCAAAATTTATTTCATTGAGCTTCCTAGAAAAGCTTACTCATGTCCATGTCTGTGCAGTGCTGTCCTTAGCCCACACACAATCTCAACAAATAAAAATGACATTTTAACTTTTTGTGACTTTCCACCTTCATTATAACTAAAAGCTATTAACCTCACTCCTTAGAGTAGTTTTAATCCTGTATACTGGGTTAATTAGAGCTGAAGCTGAACATTGCTTTTACTTCATTTAAATCCTTTCCACTGTGTCCATTCTTGGTTATGAATGGAATTGGTGGCCAGTCTGTCTCAAAGAGAGATAGCTTGATGATTAGTTCTGTTAATGCAGCTGAAATTTAAAGTTTTCATCTTGCACGTTGAATGATACCTGTGAGTGGCGTTACAAGTATGGAATATGATACCACTACAAAGATAATTTTCCCTATCCTTTTATACTCCTTCAAATCTCCTTTATTAAAACAAATAAAACCCCCCACAAATGAAAAAAAGAAGATAATTGTTGGCCTTGACTTTGAGATGTACGATTTTTCAGTGTTTACCCAGATGTCTAGAGGTTGGCATTGCTTCCACTGAATGGGTAATGCCAATGCTTCTCTTGCCCCTGTACTTACTTTTCTAGCAATCACAGTTGTGACTTGCTGTGCTTCCTCTGGCATTCTTTCTGTAGGCATGGAGGAGGTAAAACCTGAAATGCACTCGTTGTATCTTTTCTGTTCTTCTCTTTCGATTCATTTTCCCTGTTTGTAGAAATTGTTGTAAAAAAACCCTGTTTATGAGTAATCTTCCACTTCTTTAAAGCAAATTTTTTTTTCCTCAGCTTGTAGTTGAGCTGAATCATATGGTTACATCATGCATGAAATTGGCATGTTTAGATCATAAGACATCATGCTGTCCTGCTTCCCAATGGTTTGATGTGTTGGCATCAGCCATGAGGAGGTACTTACTAGATAAGTAGGTAAAAGGAAGGGTTTTTTCCTGATGGAGAAGGAAAATGGAATCTTTAAGAACTTTGGAATAAAGCGGTCAAGTTTTTCACCATTTTTATCAACACTTGAAAAAAAATGAAATGGAAAGCAATCTATTCAGAAATGAAGAGATAATTGTGCTTCCTGTTTAGGAAAATACAGTGAAGTCCAAAAAGTTAGGGCTGTGTATTTTATAGCACTGAATGCTTTACTGGAACAATGTGGAATATATACTGCTATAGTATAGTAGTAGCTACTGAATTAAGAGTAGACAGAAATGGAAGTGGTAGAAAACTACTGTGGACTGAAAACTGAGACGTGTTTCTTTGCATTATGAGAATTCGGTATCATTACCATAAGGTTTAATATATTCGAGGTTATTTTTTCTTGAGGGGTGGTAAACATTTTTAATTGTCTAAGTGTTGTTCTTTCTGCTTTATAATTCCTTTTTAATAAATATATATGGCATTACATGAACACCACTTGTAAATGTTGGCTTCTTAAGTATTTTAAACAAATAGTCTGACCTTAATGATTGAAAAGTAAACAAGTGCACTTCTTCTGAGGATAAAGGGGGTGTTTACAGGGATGTTCCTCATAAAATAAAAAATCTAGAAAAAAAAATATTTGCCTTTCTCTTTACAGGTTTGCACTTTGTTTTAGACATCTGGGACCATGTTCTATGCCCACTTTGTCCTGAGCAAGCGTGGGCCGCTGGCCAAAATTTGGCTGGCGGCCCACTGGGATAAGAAGCTGACCAAAGCCCATGTTTTTGAGTGTAACCTGGAGAGCAGCGTGGAGAGTATAATTTCCCCAAAGGTATTTATTTTAGATTAATGTAATGTTACCTTGTAGTGAAAAGAACTTGTAGTTACTGTTTGGGTCACTGAAGCAAATGAAGTTCTTAACGTTGCTATTTTAAAGGGTGGAAATGTCTGTTCAAATATGAAATGCTCTACTGGGAAACTGGAGGAAGTTTTAAGTTGCTTGATGTTTTTAAATATTTTTAGTTTTCTTTCCCTCTGCTACTCATGACAATTAAATTGTTCATTTTTGAACTAGTGAGCTAGTGATATGGTTGTGACTTTTGTGGCTTAACAGGTGACAAAAATGTCTTATACAAAAAGTAACTATTTGAAAAAAAAACCTTTCTCTTTTATTTTGGTTGATACAAATGTTAACAGTTCTAAAATGCTACTCTAGATTTTAGAAGGACTGCTAAATGTAAGCAAAAAGTGTATAGTACAATCACAGAGATACTGTTCCAGAGCAGTGATTTGCTTCATTGTAAGCTCTGGAAGGATTTAGAAAGAAGATAATGTTCATAGACTCACTATTGTGTAGCATTCTTTTAGAGAAAGGAGAAATTAATAGGCACTCTTTCATGTGTTTAACTGTGTGTAACATGTTCATTGGCTGATACATTAGAAAGACATTGTAGTCAATACAAATTTTGAATTCTTACAGTTTGAGGTTAAATCCTGTATGGCTTAATCTTTCTGTGAGACAATTATTCCATGTAACCTTCAGCACAAGTTTCATGCTCTTTCAGCCTGGAAACTTAAGAAGAGTCCTTCCCTGGAATTTTTTTTCAGTTTTATGTTCCCACAGCAGATACTTGATTACACAGTAAAGCAGTGAGATTAAAGAGGAAAGGAACTTAAAATTGTTTTAATGTGGCAGTGCTTGTGTATAGGCACTCCACATTTTCCACTATTTCTCTCTGATTTTCTTTTAACTGCAGGACAGAAGATGGAGAGATAACAAGTAACCATTTATAATTAGATTTTACTTAACCAAATCATTATTTATGGCTGTCCAGCTTTTTGTATTTTTCACTTTTTCCACAATTAAAGTAACAAAATATTAGAAAAACATGTGGTAGAAATGGGGTTTGTCTCTTTTTTTTTCTCTAGACAGAGCAGTGTTTGGGAATTCCTGAAGTGAGCTGCTATTAATTTACTGATATTTGCCAGACCATTAATGAGTAATATATAGAGTATCATCTTGGATGTAGACTTTGCATTCTCTTTTTCTTCATATTTCTGCTGATTTTTATACTTGTTTTGGATATTTGATTTTATTGAAAAAAATCATGTAAAGATGACTGAAATGTCATTAAAGGGAAAAGTAAGGCTACATCTAATTCACTGACTGTGCAATGTGTTTTTAGGTGAAGATGGCACTTCGAACCTCAGGACATCTCTTACTAGGCGTTGTTAGAATCTACCACAGGAAAGCAAAATATCTTCTTGCAGACTGTAATGAGGCTTTCATTAAGATTAAAATGGCTTTTCGTCCAGGTATCTGTCTTTATCTAAGCACTCTGAAAAGTTATGTTGATAAATATATTTATTAAGGAGACATACAATTCTGCCTTCTTTTGTCCGTAGAATTACATAAGGTAATAGGAGAGGTTATTTTCTTTGGTGCGGCTTCAACTGGCTGCGTGACTGAGTTGCCTGCTGAAAAACATCTTCTAACTGAATTCTGAACAAAAACTTTTCCTATTAATGCTGATTCAGTAAAATCTCAGTTGTGATTTTGGCTGTTGTTGGTGGATGATGTTAAATGGAAATGCACTGCATGGTTTTTACCTTCTGGCTGAAAATGGCCAGTGTCTTACTGAATAGAAGCACAGAAGGGGTCTTATTTCCATCAAGGGTGAGGATTGCTTTGCCATGAGTTACAAAAGAAATGTTTAAGTAAGCTGGTTTTTTACCACTTTTATGTTTTAGTTTCTGAAAATAATGTGAACTGTAATGTGTGCAACATAATTTCCCCCTCTATTGTTGCTTACCTTAAGATTTTTCGTGGAGATGGGGTTCCATATTTAAATGTGAAATGACTTTCCATCCAGCAGTTAATTACTTGGCTTACATACAGTTGATAGTTTTCTTTAATTTTAGCCTGGGAAAATTTTTCCAGCTGGAGTGTAGTTGTGGCAGTGATGCTGCTGGATGCTCACAGCTGCTGAATCATATTCTACCCTCTTAAGTTTGTGAGTGCAATGGATTTAAAAGCTGAACTTAAAGGAGACCTTTTGTTTTTTAAAAGGCAACTCTTGAAAGCCAGTGCAGCAGTAACTTGAGAAAAGTTAAGGTATATAATGCCTTTATCTTCATTTCCTGATCTTCATGTTGTGATTCAGGCATTGAACTTTATGTAGCTTTCAGTGGCAATTTGTTAACTGTTGCCAATTTTTTGTTTACTGTTGGGTTTAACTTCCCTGGGTGATAAGGACAGATAAATGTGTCTTCATTTCACAAGACAATTTGTTTTTCCAGTTTTCCCGCTCCCAACAACATGCATGTAGAAGGTGAAGCACCTTAAGATCAAGATGTACCAAAAGTTATATGCTGACCTGAAACAAGCTGAGGCACTTGTCTTTGTTCTCAGTTTATCAGCTTTGTGACTTAGGCATTGTCTGGATTCTGTCTGCTCTGAGAATCATGTTTCATTTTAAGCAGCCAACAGGTAAAAGTTCTGAATAGCCCTGAAAGGATGGACTAGGTTTCTTCAGTCCTAGCCAAGTACCATGATGAGTAAGCTACAGACTCATGCTTGTTCCTAGTCTCTCTGGATGGTGGTTCTTTGGTTATCTGTTGTGGAGGGAGCACAGTGGGCAGAGTGTGTTTCTGAAGTGTCTGTACCTCAGAATTGCCTGTGTTGTGAGTGTGGGTCAGAAGGCAGAGCATAGAGCTCAAATCTTCTGCAAGTTACAAAAGGAATTGAACCTGCATTTCCCATGCACTTTCAAGTGTCCTGAACTCTAAGACTCTGTATGAAGGAGAGGTACCAACTACTGGCACTGGTTTTGTGATGCCCAGTCTGATAGTCATGCTCTGAGAATGCCTGCTGAATAACAGATTAAGCATCTCTGGAGGATAAGAAAAGGTATGTATGTGGTTTAGGTAATCGAGCTCTTTTACGTGCAAAATGCTAAGAGTTTGTGTGGCCCAAGTACAGTTAGTACTGTTCTGGGACTTCTGGAGCTAATAGAACTGAATAAATAGAACAGTCATAACTGTCCTGCCACTGCTTTACCCAAACTGGAATGTAGAACTCACCAGCTCATATGGTGCATCATGATAAAAGTATTTTGTAGCAGGTACCTATAGTGTTGTGATGACATAGATGCCTGTATTGGCTGCACAGTTCTGCAGTGTCACACAAACAATATCGAGTGATTTGAGGCTTTGAGAGTTATACGAACAGTGCAAGGGCTTGAGGGTATATATTTTGGATTTAGTCTGAATCTCACTACTAACATTATCTAAGGTTTCTTAGCATCAGTTCAACACATTTAAAGACAAGAAGCTCATGCAGGGTGAACAATCCTGAAGGCACAGGATAAAATGCTGTCCTTGTAAGGAATGGGGACTCATGTCTGGGTGTTCTTCTCTGCAGGGGTTGTTGATTTGCCTGAGGAAAACCGAGAGGCCGCTTACAATGCTATTACCTTGCCTGAGGAATTTCACGATTTTGACCAACCACTTCCTGATCTGGAGTAAGCATGGGGTTTTTTTATTTCCACACAAATAATATTTGGTTTTAGTTGTGGAGAACTTGGTTTTAAACAGCTAACTCATTGCTGAATGTGAAGAAAGAGGGTCTGTAGGTAACTTGTATTCTTAAATCTTTTAATATACTAAGCAGGTATGCAACCGTCTTTGTATTGATTTCAAGTTCATAGTACCATGTAATTTTAACCAGAGTTTAAGCTGTCCTTAGAGAGGCTTTTGAAAAACTCATGTATCTGTTATCATTTTCTTTTTTCCTCTATGCAAGGCACTCTACGTCACATATGTTCTCAGGTTAGACAAGATTAGTTTTATGGAAATGTTCCTCTGTAGTGGCACTTTTAATTCTTAAAACTTCTTATTGCTAATGGGTTACTTGTAAACATGACAAGTATACAACCTGAATGGTTCTTGATCTTGAAAAAATTGATGTTACTCTTTCAGGTTATTCATAATGGAATTTACTTTGTACTTGTATTATTCAGTGTTCTGTTTAGTTTATGTTCAAATTAGAGTAAATACTAATTTGAAATTGCATAACAATTCTGTGTTCTTCTAAGAAACATACCTTAATACACCACAAAGAGTGTTAACTTAGTACTGGTTCTAAATATAGCTTTTGATAAACTATATTAATAGCTTTTGAAGTTGAAGGGGAGGAAGTCTTTTCTTGATTATTAATTTGGTCTTTAAAATTAGTAACCTAAATATAGCAAGGAGTAAGAGATGTTCGATGCATTTCCAGAAGCTAACACAATTGAGAGAGACGTTTGAATCATTAATGGTCTTACTGTTCTAAGCAATGTTTTCTATTCACTGCTTATCATCAGTTTTTTCATAAGTGACTGAAGTGTAAAATATACTTCTTATGAGCTAATGTCATATTTCTTTAAGCAACTTTGTGTTGTTAATTTTTTTTAATGGAGATTTTTAATAATTGCCTTCTGTTTGTTTAAGTGATATTGATGTGGCCCAGCAGTTCAGTTTGAACCAGAGTAGAGTGGAAGAAATTACAATGAGAGAAGAAGTAGGCAACATCAGTATCCTCCAGGATAATGACTTTGGTAAAGATCTCGTGCGTTATTATGTGTTACTAGCTAATTTTGGTAACTATAAGATATGGTTTTGCAATAACTATTGAATGCCCACTAAACACAAAACAAATTAGCTCAAACATGCTTTGGTTTTGTACATTTAATTTTTGGGTCAGTTTTTCCAGAAAGTCTGTCCTCTAATGCTCAGAAAACTTCTAGCTGCCTAGAATAGGCAGAAAGAAAAGCTGAAGATTATTCAGTCAGGTTAATTAGCGAAGTACTATGTCAATTATAATTTTCAAGTGTGTGAATATGAAGTCAGGTGTTGCTTTAATCATAAGCATGTTCTCAGTCAGAAACCATTAGGAGATTTCTAAAGCTGAAGCAGTCAGTGGCAAGGAGTTTACTGCTTCCAGTGTCTTTTCAAGAACAGTGTTCTAAAAATACGAATCAAAGCCTAAAGACAGTTGTACTTGAATGTCTAGTTCCCAGCATACAGTACTGTAATCCATAATTTAGTAATTTTTTTGAAAGAATAATCCAGGAATTTATGGTGGTGTTGATTTGGTATTGGTTTGCTCCCTGTATGCCTTGAGGCATAAGGTACAACATTTTTGAAATTCATTGAATTCTTTGGTTTCTGTGTAGATAAAATTTAGTAGGATCTTGCTAATATAAATTCAAGTAAGTAAAATAAAATGCTTTGAAGAAGAGATAGTTATTTTTTATAATTGTTTGAACAGTACTTTTGCCATGGGATTGCTGGACATAATTTCTTACACCTTGTCATTAACTCTGCAACTAAGATGAAATGAATTTTGATTTTACATTTGGGCTTTTGCTGATCAGTTAGCTAAGTCTCTTGCACCTTGGTTGTTTAGCACTTATAGCAGTGGAATTGTATTCTTGCAGGTGACTTTGGGATGGATGATCGTGAGATGATGAGAGAAGGTAGTGCATTTGAGGATGACATGCTAGTAAGCACCAGTGCTTCCAATCTCCTATTGGAACCTGAACAGAGCACCAGTCACCTCAATGAGAAATCTAATCACCTGGAATATGAAGACCAATACAAAGATGATAATTTTGGAGAAGGAAATGATGGTGGAATATTGGGTAAGTTTGAGAAATTTGTTTATCCTCCATCCTGTCTTCTGCATTCATAAGTTCTTGGGTGGACAGGGGGAAGCTGTTTTCCTTGTAGCAAAGATCTCTTTCAAAGTTATGCCTTCAACAGTAGAATTCTGGTTTATGAGTCCTACAGCAGTGCAGATGATGTACAGATGATCTTAAGTGTTGGCATAAATGAAGTTCTAAGAAACCCAGTAAGATGCAAATATGTGGCAATTGTATTGTAATAAAGGTTGCCTGTAAGCTCAAAATTTGTGCTGACATGCACCATGAAAAGGCACTGCTGCTTTCTTCTGTGTCAGCATTGGAAGTTTTCTAACCTTTGCCCTGTCTTTATCTGTGTTGTGATAAACTTGTCTGTACTTCTTTATAAATTTGTCAGTACTTTTTCATGAATTTGTGGATGCAAAACTGATTCTTTCATATGGTTGCTTCAGATGACAAACTTCTCAGTAATAATGATGGTGGTATTTTTGATGACCCACCTGCACTCTCAGAAAGTGGAGTAATGATGCCAGAGCAACCTCCCCACGATGATATGGATGATGATGATAATGTATCAAGTGAGTATTAACTAGGGTTAGATCTAGAATTACTCTTCAACTGATTTGATTTTTATTTAATTCCTTAAAAGCAAATTAAGCTCAAAGTATGAAATGGGGTAAATCACTTGAGGTTGTGGAGGAGGGGATGGGCAGGGTAGCACAGTTTCTCCATGCTGTGAAATAGTGCAAGGTACCTGTTCTCGTTGGCAGTGGGTGGCCCAGACAGCCCGGACTCCGTGGATCCAGTTGAACCGTTACCAACTATGACTGATCAGACAACGCTTGTTCCCAATGAAGAGGAAGCTTTTGCTCTGGAGCCTATTGACATAACTGGTGAGTAAGCTATTTGGGAATATTTTACTTGTGTTGTCAGAGACTACCTTAGCTTGATGGAGTGGAAATGAATGTCTAGAACTGCTGCTGATTCTGTTTCTCAGCTGGAAGAGAAACCAGGCACCAAGTGCTGAATTCCTTTTATTCTAACAGTAGCCTTCCAGTACTTTCCAGGTAGATAGCTTCCATGGATGGTCTTGGAGGATACTAGTTTGTAATTTCTGCAGTCGAAATGTATAATAGCACAATACTATAGCTTTTGGTAAACATGCTAGTTTAAATGCACTGAGTTGAAATAGAACTCATCATGTCTTTAATTCTAATATGCTATCTGTAGTGCAGCACAGTTCTTGATATACTATGTTTGAAAGCCAGGAGTGACTGCTTACACTGAGAATGAGTGCTCTTCTAGTGATTTGTAGCTTTAATGAATTGCTGAGTTCAGGAAATGTATCTTTTTGTATTTGAAATTCTACTAAATAGGTGATTTCCTTGTCTTTCTCTTTAATGCAAGAAACTTTCTTACTTTAACCAATACTGTATTTAGCTCATTGTAAACAGATCCCTGCTTTAATGAAAAATTAGGATCTAGAAAGAAAGTAGCTTGTCCTGTGTCTTCAGACTGAGCTCCAGGCCCTGATTCCCTGCTTGGCCAATCAGAGAGCCCTGGCACTGCCCTCTCGTGGCAGGCTGGCAGCAGGGGTCCAGCAGATCTGCTAGGACCAGCAAAGACAGCTGTTGCCAGAGCTTTATGGTCTGCTGCAGAGTGCCAGACTGTAAGCAATGTCATCCTAGAGCAGGGTGAGAGGTACAGGTAAGATAACCACCCACATTAAGTCCACCAAAGCTCAGGCAGGGCTTAGAGATAAAACCTGGTATAGTATTTTCACTCTGTGATTAGAATTATAGAATGGTTTGGTTTGGAAGGGACCTTGAAGATCATCTAGCTCTAACTGTCCTGCCATGGGCAGCGAGACCTTTCACTAGACCAGATTGCTCAGAGCTCCATCTGACCGGGCCTTGAACACTTCCAGGGGTGGGACATCCACAGCTTCTCTGGACAAGCTCTTCCAGTACCTCACCACCCTCACGGTGAAGAATTTCTTCCTAATACCTAATGTAGACCTACTCTCTGTCAGTTTGAAGCCATTCCCCCTTGTCCTGTCCCTAGATGCTCTTGTAAAAAGTCTCCTCCATCTTTCTTGTAGGCTCCCTTCAAGTGCTGGAAGGCTGCAATTACATCACGCCGAAGCCTTCTCTTTTTCCAGGCTGAACAATTCCAATTCTCTCAGCCTTTCCTCATAGGAGAGGTGCTCCATCCCTCTAATCAACATGTTGGCCAGGGTTTGCACCAGCCTAACAAACAAGCCATGGGGGAGGGAGGCATGTGCAGCTGAGGACATCAAGGCTTAGGTAGATTCAGTAAAACTACGAGTCTACACAAAAGAATTTGTAGGTTACAGGACAGCATTCCTAGTATTTGATCTTTCACACTGCTTGTAGCCTTTCAGTCCTTCTCCCAAAGCTGACATTGCCTTAGATGCTTTAGGTAGCTTTATACGTGGGCAAATAAGACCTATAGAGAACCTGCAAGATTCTTCTATGGTGTGGTATCTGAGCTAACCTTCATTACTTGCTAAAAATCTCAACAGTCAAAGAAACCAAAGCAAAGAGGAAGAGAAAGCTGATTGTGGACAGTGTGAAGGAACTGGATAGCAAGACTATTCGAGCCCAATTAAGTGACTACTCTGATATTGTTACTACTTTGGATTTGGCACCGCCTACTAAGAAACTGATGATGTGGAAAGAAACTGGTGGAGTTGAAAAGCTTTTCTCTCTGCCTGCACAACCTTTGTGGAATAACAGGCTACTGAAGGTAATGTTTTTGTGCAGGTTCATTTTTAAATGGACTGTATTCAGGACTGTGCCTCACATATAGTAAACATCAGCATATCAATAGTGATATAGTAATATTCATAACTGGAAAAAAAAACACATTAAAACAAGAAAGATAACTATTTTAAGCGTTGGTGTTACCAGTTACAGAAGTAAATTTTTTTTTTTTTAATATTAGTACTGTGGAGAGGAGCTTAAAAAATAGGAAAGTAAGATAGGCCATAATTACTTGACCTGAAATGAAATTGAAGGACACTGAGAACTGTAGTTCTCAGTAGTGAATAATGTAATCTTTCCTCTATAGCTCTTTACTCGCTGTCTTACACCTCTGGTACCAGAAGACCTAAGAAAGAGGAGGAAAGGTGGAGAAGCTGACAACCTTGATGAGTTCCTTAAAGACTTTGAAAACCCAGAAGTTCCCAGAGAGGAGCAGCAGCATCAACAGCAGCAACGAGATGTCATTGGTTTGTGTCTTGTCAAAGATGCTCTGCTTCCTTCAGAGCTTATTTTTCTTTTTTTTTTTTGTGCTTTGTATTAAGTCATCAAAGATTATGAATGGAGCAAAGAGCTTTGTAATGGTTGTTTAGCTTGATGTACAGTCTGTGACCGAAAATAACTTATATTTGCTAGAAATAGAGGGCGCTTAGGAATTGTTTGAACCAGTGGACTAAATGTGTATTGGATTGGTTTGTATGCACATCTGTGCCAATTCTGCTTGTCACTGCAAAAGCTGTGCAGGCTGTTAAGAGTGCTCAGTTCTAAATTAATAGCAGATTAGACTTTGGTATGGTTTCTAATACATCTAAACCGAGTTTTGTTGTGGAATATAGATGAACCTATTCTTGAAGAACCAAGCCGTTTACAGGAGTCGATGATGGAAGGCAGCAGAACCAACCTGGACGAATCTGTTATGCCGCCCCCACCACCTCAGACAGGTGTGAAACGCAAAGTGCAGCAAGTAGAGCCAGAGCCAGTGCTACCCGTGAGTAAGATTTCACTGTGGTTTTTTATGGGGAATGAGAAGTGGGTGGTGTCTTTGAGCAGGAAATGACAGATTTGAGGCCCTAGCTTTCCATGGTCATGTGAGATTCTCTGGAGTAGTAGCAGAACATTTGCCCCTGGGTAGGCATTCTGGTGTTTATTCTTAAGCAAAAAGCTTACTGAAACATTTAAAATGCGTGTAGGATAAAGAAATGACACTATTTCCTCTAGAAAAAGTCTTCAAGGAATTAAGTGTATTGTTTACAAAGCTATCAGGTTCTGCTGGGCAAGTGTATATGAACATTTTCCACTGAAGCAAGGATTGTGCTAGCTGCACAAACTTCCTTTTTAAGACAGTCCTATTGTTCCAGGCTTAAGGCTTCAAAGAAAGACTGATTGCCTGGAGGTATTTTGTAGCTGAGCTATGAGTAGTCTTGGAAACTAGATGTGATGCAGTGTGAAAGGAAACAATATTTTGAAGGGGAAAGGAAGGAAAAGGGCAAAATGAAAGGTATATTCTTTTTCTGAATGCTTATCTGCTGAGAACAGTCCTGGTTTATGCTATGTCTCATAATTGTGCATGTTTAACCTCACTTTTCATGTTCCTTGGCCAGCAGATTGTTTGCTGTAGAATGAGACTGATGTTACATTATCTTATTAAAAAGGGTGGCAGCTGCTGCTCCGCTTGGCCATGTTATGGGGTGAAATTGGCATCAGCTGTACTGAAGTCAGTGTAGTTGGGGGAGTGAGTGTTGGGAATTCTTCCATCACATGAGCAGGTCAGGCCTCTGTCAACATACCTGTAGTGTTACCTGCTGTTTGACCAAGTCAGAAGTTGCTTAGCCATTTTAGAGTATGTGTAGAAACAGTTTCAGGTGTCAGTGTAACTTTGCTGGCAAACACTTAACTGCATATAGATTCACAAGGAGAGTGCTGTATATTAATTTTATTAAAACTGACTACATAAATCCTGTTAAACGGCTTTTCTGGGTTTTTCTCTTGATATAAATATTTTCTGAGAATGATAATTGAGCACCAAAGTCACTCATAGATTTTAGGAAACTTTGCGAGACACCTGTGTTTTAATTCCTTCACATTTATATCACTGAGAACAGCATTTTGATACTTTGAAGATGTCTTATTCTACCAAGTTAGTGTGTTCATGTAGTACTGAATCTGGTTATCTAGGATTTTAAATTTGAATGTGCCAATTCAAGAAATGGGATCGATGGTGGACTAAGTGAAATTATTGGAAAGCCTTTTTTCTTATAGAGATATCATAATTTCTGGTTTGAGTAGAATCTAAAGGATTAAAAATACATGTATGGATAGCAAAAAAAATGCTTTTCGGTTTTTAAAAAAGAAAAATTCAGACAAATAGCTAAGATTTAGATACTTGAATTTTATGCAACTGGTCTGTTGCATTGTCATTGTATTGTAAAGGCACAGACAGAATTATCCTTTGGTTTAACTGTATTGTGTACCTTTACAGCATCCACCGTCACAACAGCTGGAAATGCCACCTGTGGAAATGCCTCCAGAGGAGCCCCAAAACATCTGCCAGCTAATACCAGAGCTAGAACTTCTGCCAGAAAAAGAGAAGGAGAAAGAAAAGGAGAAGGAGGAGGAGGAAGAAGAAGAGGTAAGAACTCTGTGTAGGAAGAGTTTGTGTGTTTCCCAGAAGCGTTTGGCTGTGGATTCAGTAAATGGCATAAGAAAAATCTTTAGTGTATCCTTGGGAAACGATAGCCTTTGGAAATGTAAATTCTTAAAGTATTTCATGACCATTTTATAATATTTATGGTATTTTGTATTATAAATTGTATATACATTCTGTTTTATGTTAGAGGGTTCTCCTGTTCTCACACATGGCTGGATTAAACCACTCTATATATTTATGATGCCTTGTACAAGAAGTTTTGAACTTGATGTTGTTGTTCATTTTAAATAGTTTGTGCTGCCTTATGAAAGTAGCTTTTTGCAAGAAAACCAGCCACATCCTAAAATGTGATAACTTGTCTCTTAGCTACAATATTTAATATTCTGTGGCCGTCAAGACAAACTTCAATGACATCTTTTATTTTACACGTGCTTGCAGGAGGAAGAAGAAAGGAGATGGAACAAGAGGACTCAACAAATGCTTCATGGACTTCAGGTACACATGATCATTTGCTTTCTCTTGAAGTAGCTTTTGAGT